TATTGAAAGGAAATGAAATTTTTATTTCTTAAAACAAGATAAAATGTTACAAAAAACACAATGTATATTGACAATATTAAATATATTTGCTAGATAAAGAAATATAGTTTCCTTCCTTTAACAATAAATCAGAAGCATAATAACTTTTTTTTACTTTCCTGGAAAAACATTTAAAGAAGAAAAGCATTTATAAATCTTAAAATTTTCAACAAACTGTTTGTAACTACTTTAAGTGATATTGTTCTCTGTACAATAACTGCAGTATTGAATTTTCATTTTGTATTATTTCCTTGTTGGCATTAAGATAGCATGTTGTGGTTGATTTACTAGAAACTGCTGCATATTCTCCCATCATGCAGCTTCCAGGGCAGACACAAAACATATGTCTGTAGAATTCCAATCTTGTTAAAATTCAACAAATACTGTAGATAAAATTTCCACCTTTCTGTTTTTAATGTTTTACAAGATTTATTTAGATTTTTATTGATATTTAAAACCTGGTTTTCAAATTTTCACCCGGGGAAGTCTTGCACTTCAAATGCATCAAATTGTAATGAATAATATTGCTGCAGAAAAAAGCGTGAAGATATTTTTATTTGCCACATTATGTGTGTTTTAACAAGCAGTCTATGAGTTTTAATGTGCTATGTTTAAATCTCTAAAGTTCGAGTATTAAACCCAACTGATACATATTGAATAGATCAAGGGGGAAAAAATTATAAAACAAATAAACAACCAGCACCTGCCACTTTTCAAATAAGTCAAACTTTGTTTGCTGAAACTCGAAGGCCTCTACATCTTTGAGAGATTGGTATTGGTCTGGAACCAACCAAGGTTCACAGAAGTATCATTTAAAATACAATTGTACTTTAAGAGGGCATTAGTGGTAAATCATTCTTATAGTCTTATTTCTTCTGGTATGAATATTCAGTAGAAAATAGTCACTGAAATGATGCAATTTATAATTTCTTAGAAATAAGTCCCATATTGAAATATTTAAACATATTTATTGTCATCAACTTATTTAAACCACTATTAAATGGCTATTATTGTTTTCAGTAATATCAGATAGCTCTTCCATATGACAGATTATTCACAAATTATTATGACAGATTCAGAACCATCATATTAGTGACCAAGAAAGTTACTAGTCCTATGTTAAAACATAGTGTGGTTCCTCCATTTATCAACATAAAGTGAACTCTATAACTTCAGCAACTGGGTACTTTAAAATGGAACTATCAAAGCAATGTCTTGATTTGTCAGATATTTTACAATGTTTGCATATTTTAATTTTACGCATGTATATTTTCACTGAGCTGGTGGTACTATATAGAAGATTATGTGTGTTAAAGAGGGTCTTGTCTGACATTATGTGTGACAGTTATGATAGATAAATGTCTACAGATAATCATCTAGCAGATAAAACTAGTGCAGTTGATTACCATCTTATAGATAAAACTGTAGATCTGATTGGAGGGGTATATAATTTTTGCTGATATATATTTTGCAGTGATATATAAGACAATCTAGATTAATACCTACATGCTTGTATGAGATAGTAATCTTATGATCCCATTAGGCTGTCCACACAGTATGAGTTAATACATGAGCTTAAAATACAATATTTCACCATGGTTAAATGTAAAAAAAAAACTGAAAAAAAAGAAATACTGATAAAGTAGGAATATATTGAAATATTTATTGGAATTAATACTGATAAATGTGTCTCTTATTCATAAAAAAAAGAAAAAGGAAAAAAAGAAAAAAAAGCAAGGAAGAAAAATTCTATAAGCTTAACATAGTCATAGAAAAAGTAGAATATTTATTTAGTTTAGAAACATAACATTATAAACTGACTGTGTATCTGTTGCTATAATTCTAAATTTCTTCAGGATTAAAAAAATAAAACACTACATGTACATCCTTTCACTCCTTGTACTAATTGAACAGAGAAATAAGGTCTTCAAATATGAACATCAAATGATTTAGAACACAAAGCAATTTACATTTTCACAAAGCAAAGCATGTCTTCTTTAGTCATGTATCTGAAGGAATTGGATTCCATCAATAAATGATAATTCAAATATTGATGATAAGGTGTCAGAAATAGTTCTTTATGAATTTAAGACTTAAAATGCCAGCTGTCAGTGTTTGAAAACCCTTGTCTATTATGACCTTTTCAATGATTACTTTGCTACACACCAATATTTCTGCTCGGAACTATTTTTTTAGTGCTATAAAAATGTTCTAAAAGCAATGTTAATGATAAAATGCATAAACTTGAGGTTATTGTAATCATTGATGGGATAATATAAATTGATGAGTGAAACAAGTACAACATTAATTACTGCGTGTTAACAGAAGGTGTGTCCTGGTCACGGCAGCCTTCCAGATCCCTGACCTCACATCAGTATATTGCAAGCTTTTTATTCTTAATTACTTTTCCTTTCCTATATAGAAAATTTAATAATTAATGTTGGGGCTGGTTTCAATTTTCATCAGTGTTAATCAAGGTGAAATGTAATCAAAAGTGTATGGATAGCGGCCCAGTCTGTTTGCACTGTTTCCCAGCTGGTTTGTCTTTATAATTGTGTAGCCGGATTCAAAGTGGAACACAAATAGTGCCAGTCTCTTTGATGTCTCTTATAACTCAGTGATGTATGAATCTCATTTTCTTACTGTCAGATAAATGTGCTGATTTTCAAGTTTTATTTTCTGATATGCAGATAAATGCAGGTCTGGCTGTTGCCATCTGCCTATGCTCTACTGGTCAAGCCCTGATTTATTGACCACTAAGACTATAATCAAGAGTCCATAAAATGTAAATGGGCAGTGATTTGAGGATGATCTTAAGACAAAACATAGTCTCAGTGTTTGAATACATGATATGCATTAGACTAATGTTTATAGGACATGATTATAGTCGGCCAATACAAAAATAAGAGGGATCTAACTTATTAGGGACAATTAATACTTCAAGTGTGAGACATTAAGATAACACATTTCCTGTAGAATATCTTTAAAACCAACATTTATTGAACAGTGTAAAATAAAATGTAATTAAAAATATAAGATTATGATTCCTAACATGCATACAATTCATTTAAGCAGGATAGAAATTTTTTCCTGTTTTGAAAACAGATATGAGAGTAGATAAAAAGACTTGATGAAATAGACTGATTAAACACAGAGAAATGATCATCCTGTCACATCAAACATTTATACCAATATTATGCACATGTTTTTTTATTGATGTGATTAAGCTGACTTTGAATAGGAAATCAATGTTTATATGCTTGAATCATGCTGACAAGTTCAGTAAAACAAACATTCTACTTGATATTATCCACGCCAACATCACAGAAATTCCCCAGGGAGTCACTGTACTATGTCTTGTCTTCTGTAATTCTTGAAATAAAAAAATTCTATTGTAATGATAAAGCATTCAAAACTTAAAATTTTCTCGTGTGCACTCTACCTAATTAAATTAGACGGAGAAAGCCGGGATGCATTTAACAATCTTTCGCTTCACTAAATGCAGTTGTTGGCACCAATGTCTTTATTGTCTCCAGCCAGAGTGTTCATTAAAACCATGTGTAAGAATATAACTTCTCAGGCCATTTGGAGAAGTTTTTTTGTCACGAAAGGCGATGTTAAACAATCAAATAACCAATAAAGCAGAAACAAATTGATGAGGCCCAAACCAATAAACTTATACCCAAAGGCCATACAATTTCATTAAAAGGATGTGTTTGTTTTTCTCCATAAGAACATTGATTTGTTTCTGCCATAAAATCTATGTAAGTACATAATACTGCTTAAACTAAACAAAGAGATTGTTCATTTGAAGGGTGGAAAAAGCTCCTACTTAAAGTACATAATTATATCCCGGACAAAATGACAGTCTGTACTTTGCCTCACATCAGTACCAAATATATATATAGTACACATTTTTTCTTTAAAACTACCATTATTTGATCAATTTTGTTGGCAAAGAAACGAAAAACAACACTCCTTTTATAATATTAAATCTCTAAATTTAGAGAAAAAATTCCCAAAGACATGAAACAGCCAGAGAGATTTTATGTTCAGTTAAAAGTTGAGTTTGAGCAAGTTAAAGCATTGATTGAGGTCATTTACTGGGAAAATACTAAACTGTTAGAGAGGATGAAATCTTACACTAGAAGATGTTATTTCCTACACTAATGGATTCTGACTGTATCTTCCTTCAATCTGTACAAGAAAGAACCCACAAATCTGCTGTCTCGGCTCATCTTAAATAACAACAGCACTTTAATAGCTTTTAAAAAACAAAACAACAATGTAAACCAGTGCATTTAGAAAGCATAAGTTATATACATATGTACTGTATATATCATATATTAGATCTGACATGTGAATAAAGTACTTTCATCACATTCTCTGTAGAACCATTATAGTAGAATTTTTTCTTTGCAGATCTTTTTGTTCATGTCTAGAACTGTTATATGTTATAGTAGAATTTTCTTTGCAGATCTTTTTGTTGATGTCTTATTATGCAGTTAAAGAGGCAGTTTAGATTTTACTGAATATTCATTTTTTTATTTTCAATATTTTTGCTATTGTCAAGACAATTACAATAATTGTCACCCACACTTTTAATTGACTATAATCTGAGAGATAGTGCGTTTGCAACCAGCATGGATCCAGACCAGCCTGCGTATCCGCGCAGTCTGATTAGAATGCATGCTGTTCGCTATCAGTTTGTCTACTCGTTGTAGGGTTTGTAAGCAAACAGCATGGATCCGGATGCGCAGGCTGGTCTGGATCCATGCTGGTTGCAAACACATTATGTTGGTTTTGTCATGACACGGCTCATATAGTCTTCATCGCAGACTTGTATACGATCTTACATGGTGTAAGTATGATAACTTTAGTTTACATTTTGTTATTTCTAAACTTACTTGAATTTTACATCTCAATTGTCCCTTTAATTTACATGAATATAATTGTTTCAGATCTCAAGTTCATTATTAAATCGAGTGTCAGCAGTGGATCAAAACTTCTTCAAAGAAATCGAGCTTGTACCGCGAGTGTCACCTGAGTTTGAGCTCACGCTGGACAATACACCTGTGTTACATGCTATACAAACTATGAATTTCTTCCAAATGAAAGGTGAGATATTGACTCTTAAACTATTTCATTGTCTCCTGCTGAAAAGCCAGCTTAATTTTGTCCAGACAACAACTCAAAAGTGTTTGAGACTGGTGGATAGAGACATTGCATTAATAACCCCTTTGTTTCTTGTCTTGCATAATATTTAGTTTATACAAATTTATTTCAGTTTGATTGTGTTGGAAGCTATAAGCTTATTGAAACAGTCTCTAGAATCCGTTCCTGCAACCAACTTGTACTAGGCAATGAATGTAAAGTTTCTAGCTCAAGGAAAAAATGGCTTGCCCCAGACAGGATTTGAACCCACACTGTCAGCAATCCTTAGATTACTATTTGTACTATACATAATATTTGTTCATACTAAATCTAATAAAGTTTTAGAGATATAATAATTTGGCAGTATATGAATGTCATGTGACTGGTTCATGAAGGATAGAAGAACATTGTATTTCAGTACTTTAAATACCAGACAATGTTTATGGCTGTAATGGCAAAATAATCTTTCTGTTCTATTTGAGCTTATCAAAGTAATCAGAAATGTTTTTAGATATTAGAACCATTATGAGATCTACCACTGATTCTCATTTAAGATAATAAGGATTTATTTGAGTCTGAAAGTGTCATAATGGACACTAAGATCATTGCAACCTTGTTTCCCAGCTGAGGAAAACTGTGCCTCAACACTTAACAGGTCAAGTGCTAGAGAACATATTCTGTCATCCTCACAGACCACCACTTGGTTTACAAAATAATCAAGCAGATTACAGGTGGTAGTGGTTGGTTTCATTCAACAATTTGTACCTGGTGGTAGTGAATGGTTTCCATCATTATCTTCTTGAACCTTATTAATAACAAACATAGGATATAAAACATAAACTGGCATCGATACCAGACTTGTTTGGAATTTTAGAATGTGCTGCTAGGAAAGTATGGTAGATATTACTTCCTGCCCAATATTTCTTTTTTGTCAAAACATTGATTGGTTATAGGAGAGATTTACCAGTGGCCAATATTCTAAAAATAGAATTGCTGATAAGCACTGACCATAGCAACCGTTGCTGGTCGTACATCCCCTTTGTACTACCTAGTCATTTTACATAAGAAAACTATGGTGTGTATGTCTATTAAGAAATAAATATGAGCTCTGTTTCAATAAAGTAGAGGTTTTGATGCTAAAGCATCATTAGTCCCCGAATAGAAAAATGATTGTATTATCATAAATTTAAGAAAATATCAGTTAAATGGTTCATGAATAAAGAAAAGATTAACAATATGTTGAGTAACTATTTATTTACAATAAAGACATTATATGTGAAACAAACTTGCTTAGAAATATTGTCAAGAAACTGTTATCATTTTTTAAATCAGCAAAAAATAACGTACACTTAATTCATCGTAAACTTAATTCATCGCGAATAAAACAGGTGATTGAAAATAATTAAAGTAAAGCATTAACATTAAGCTTGCAAAGTGACTGGGAAAATATGTTTAATTATTGTAAGAAACGATGCAATTCTATTGTACTTTTAAAGGTACTGACTACAAAATTATATAAACAAAACAATCTTTCTTATCTCATATTTCCTATTTATTTATTTTTTATTGAAAATAAATAAAACTGTAGGGAAAAGAAATCTTCAAACAATTATAAAAACTGTAGGCAAAAGAAATATTCGAACAATTATAAAGACATTGTTTAGATATTTGTTATAATATGTGGCCTTAAAAAGTTATAATTAGTTAACTACATCAAATATATAATGCCAAGCTTATAAGTATGGTATAGTTTTAGAGGTGTACCAGTATTCTGAAATAAATTCATGGAGGTCATTATCATATCTACCTGATCCCAGATTTTTTTCCAACCACAGATGTGACACATGACTATTTTGAGTAATTATGTTGCCTTTTCTTTTTTATATTGGCTGCTGTAAACATGTTTAACTGGGGATTTTGTCAACTTTTTAAATAAATTAAATTTATCCCAAACATTTTCAAATATCACCTGTTGGTCAAACACCATTTTAACAGTCAATCTTTTGAAATATAAAGTCAATTCAGCTCAAATTGACTATGAAAATATGAGCATAATGTCACTTTAACTTGCTTAATACTTAAAACTGAACATGAACTAAGCATAAAGTTTTAAATTATATTTATGTTAACAACACTCAGTTTTGGGTCTTAAGCATACATTTAACAATGGCTAAAATATAATACCCTTGAATCATAAAACATATTTACATTGACAGGGTGAAAAAAGGGAAAATGAAAATGAAACAAAACTGAGCAATTAGCAGGCATATTTCACATAAAAATGATAATTCATAGAACACATGTAGTGAGTTGTTTCAAGATTGATATAGACATAAAAATTAAAGTACATGTAAATGTTTAGCAAAAATTAAACCCTTTATAACATCACACTTATCTTATATATAAAATATATCAATACTATTTAGAAAATAGTTTTATATTTTTTTTCTTCATTTTGAATATTACAAAAAATATCTGTTCAGATAATTCTGATCTTTAAAACTTTGCCCCAGGAACATCATCTTATGTTAACTTTACAGAAAATGCTATCATTGTTTACATGTTGTTTGTACGACCTTCTAAGATTGTGTGTATACGTAGTCCACACAGCAGTTATCAGTGACGTGGTGGTAAATCTCTCCTATTCGGCTGCGTCTAATCAGCCAGAAAAGATAAGAAAATTATATATTCAAACTTAGACCTGGCATATAGCAATGAAATCATTTCTTGACAATATGTCATAATGATTATGCCAATTTTTTACCCATATTGAATAAAGTATCAGTTTCTAGATTCATGAATTAATCATTGGTTGTCTTTCATAAATCTTTGTACCTATTAATTGTATAATAAAATGTACCTTGAAGAAACCAGGAAGACTTTGTAAGCAAATTATTTACTGAGAACATTTTGTGTACTAATACAATTTTTCTTAGTTTTTCTGTGAAAGTGTACAAATCCCCAAAGACAAAAATATAAATGTTTGTATTATTTTAGAAATATTTGATATGAAAAAACTGCTTGAAGTAATATGATAAAACATGAGGAGAATAATGATAAAAAGTGAGTTGTATATCATATCTGCCTAGATTGTGATGTCATTCTAGTTTCTGTAGACAATCTATAGCACCCAGCGGAGATATAAAGATGTATAATTGTTCTAATGGGCCAGTAGGATTGGTATGATATTGCTCGGAAGCCACTTCCTGTCTACAGTTGGTGTCATAGTTAGATAATCCTGGTGAATTATGTCCTGACAACCAGATCTAGGTGCCATAGTTACATACTTCCAGTGAATTATGTCCTTGCACTATTCTTTAATGATGCTTGTATAACAATAATAGGAAAATACAACATTGCTATTGATATATATTAATATGTACTGAAGTTTCCCCGAGGTCATTCTGAGAAAATTTACAGACTGTATGTAAAGGAGCTTTTAAAGGGAATTGGTCTATAATGGAAGATCTATAATACAATGAATAATTATGTTGATAGTATTAAATATTAGATATAACTAGCCACATGAAGTTGTTGGCAACTGTGAGATACATGATCTGATATTTTTTCAGCAACAATTTAAAAGAATATCCAAATGATCCATTTCTGTTGTTTTTATCAATATTTGAAATAATAATGGAAAACGTTTCCACTGTAGAACTATCCACTTTAAATGTGTAACTTGTTACTTAAAGCTGCATACCTTCAGATGAAATCATATTTGACAAAATGTTCTAAGATTTTAAGAAAACTAAAAATATGCACAATTCAAGAAATAATTTACATGTTATATGTTATTAATGACTGATATTGTGGTATTTATAACCATAGTAATTCTGTAAGTGCTATTTTTACACATTCTTACCTGTTCTTGGTATTTTTTATAGTTTTCAAGAGCCGTTTGCAAAGTGTAAAAAACTTTTTTTGTTAATTAGACAGTACTCTACTGTTTTTAAAATTTTTGAAAATTAGCATGAATCAGAAGACATGCTGCTTTAAATAAAGTTATTAAAATGAAATGTGATAAGTGATAAGTTTCTTACCTGTCCTTTGTATTCAGGTAATACTAAAAGTTCTCTTTTGCCTCAATTTTTTAGCTTTTAAGTACTTTTACTTTTTTAGTACTAGATATTTTTATATATTTTGATTGATTGTATAATGTAAGTGGGTTAATTGCAAAAATTCCGACAAAAAATAGTTAATGATATAGATCAGAGAGAAGTCTCAGAAATGTGTTAGATAACAATGAAAAAAACTTTTGCTATTTTTCATAAAAAAAGAAAGATTTATGTTTGAGAATATATTGGCAGGAATGTGTAAGGTTAACCACCGAAATAAAAGTTAAAATGTTCCACACACAAACATCAAAAATTCTGAAAATAAAGATGAATGTTCCTCTAGAAACCACTTGAAAGAAAATAGCTCACAGTGTGACCAGGTGGATTTTACATTTTATTATATTCTTACACAGGGCTGTTATAACATACTGTCCTATGAGACATACTCTTCTTTTGTAACAGTCACAGAGGCTGGCTCACATTAAAACTAAATCTCTCCCCTTATACTACAAACTTTCTTTTCTTTACTTTTCTTTGAGTTCAAAAGAATATTTTCAGCAGAACGGTGCCATAAATAATGCAACATGAAACAGCTTGATGTAATTCTTAAATCATTTATAGCTGTTGCTGTTATTACAACTTATTACATTTATAACGGTACAATATTTAAGATTTATTGTTTTCTTGCACCACAGATGGTATAATAGGTAAGTGAAAGGTTTGCTGTTAGCTTTAAATGTCATTACTTATAGTGGTGTTCAACCTGTTTATTTTTATAGCTGCTATTATTTTCATGTTATGATTTTTTTACAGTAGTAATTTATTGTTATTAGATTATTTATTTCAATGATTTTGTATGAATGTTAACATAGTGAAAAGCTTTTTTTTGCAAAACAAATTAATATTAAGCACATCATATGACAACTGAAATCTCTAATGATTATATAATGTAGGGAATCTTATTTTATTATATGGAAAATTAATAGTCAATAAATTAAAGACATTTCACATTAAATGTTTTGTTAACGAGTATTTTATCTGAAATAAAGCTGGAGGCTTTAAACAGGCTTTCTTCAAGATGATTTGTGTTTGTGATAAATATATGAGATATTGTTTTCTTGTTGTTTTATTACATGTCTTTTATCAGTATATCAGAATAATGGACTGGTCTTGCTTGGAATTAGGAATGTTCCATTGTTATTTGAAGGGTTTCAATATAAAATATACGTAATCTTAGTATTGTGGGTTCGATTCCTGGGGTGGAGGGGGGGGCAACTAAAATTACTAATCAGTCTTTTGGATGAGACTTTGAATAGAGGTTCTGTGTATGAGTGCTTAAACACTTGGCACGCTAAAGAACCAGGAGAAAGCTTCTGGAATTGGTGTACCTTTCTGTATCTGCATCATGCGCCATCCTCCAAAATATAAAATAACCAACAGTCTTCTGGAGGGCTGGCCCATATGGGCAACCTGTGGGGAGTATAAATAAACTCAAATACCCACTACACATTGCGTATAATACATGCATATGATCATGGCCTAGCTGGCACCATGTTTGTGGTATATATAATATTATTGCAACATTATAACATATATAGTCACTCGGTCATATGTTTTGTCTATAACTTTGAAGTTTTGTAGTTTTTGTTAAATGCTGTATAAGTTGCAATGTTTTCTTGGGGATTTTCTAAACTGTCTTCATATTTCTCAAAATTTCCAGTTTTGAAGCAGACTAAATATTACATTTTTGATGACAAAGTTTACAGATATGCAAAATCTGCATCATATAGCTGATACCATAAAATATTTTTCCTGGATTCTGCAAGAATTCTAGTCTTCAGTAAAAATAATTACTAGAAAATGTATAAGTTTGTTTGATGGTGTCTCCTATAAAATAAAATTAGATACATCATGCCTAAAGATAATATTTCAGTTTTTGATGAAAAATAAGCTCTAACAGTTTATGATCACAACAAAAGATTTGTTGTTTGTGTTGTTTGTGAGGGAGTTAAAGGAAAGATATTTACATAATTTACCTTTTATAATAAAACGATGATCAAGTTTGGTTACCGGCTTTGATGTGTCTCTTTAATGTTTTATAATGAACTTAGTTTGTACTTGATGTTCAGCAATGATTGAGTTAACTCAGTTACTATCCTCAATCAATGCCATCCTTTTTTCATTATGAGTTTTTTGAGGAAATAATTTGTAAGGTTAAATAACAATTTCATAGGTCATAAAGCTAGGAACCAGTAACTTATGTTTTATTTCTGTCCAATATTTGATTGATAATACAAAGCATTTGCTTCAGAAGTTGTAGTAGATTAATATTGAAATTAACCATGAAATATGCCGTTAAATATGTTTAATAGTCATGTCCTGGCTTCTCATTGTTAGTTTAACATATTTAACCACTAACAGATTACCGTATTAGTAAAAATATTACTATACTACATTAAAATGATCAGATCAGAGACCTATTTTATTTATATGTCTCTGTTATGAACATAATTGATAAATATATTTTATTTTTATAAAACAGTAAAATTTTAAGTTTATTATGTTTTTTAGATGTTAGTTACCATAGTTACAGGTCAGAAGACTATTTTTCTAGAATTTTTTTAACGAAACATATAATCTTCTAGCATGACAATCCTGTAGTAAAGTTTGGAAGATGGAGGTGGCATTATTATGGCAAGCAGGAAACCATCAACTGCATTTTATGGCCTCTATTAGTTTTTATTTCTAGATAATCATCATTTATTGTTGGCCCCCAAACATCGCCAGATAGTTTCTTGTCTGACTGCCTGTCAGTTTTCCAAACATTTTGATGGCCGTATCATTTTTTTCTGCTCTTTCTTCAAACAGAAGTTTCTAATCTTTACTTCTTGTTGTTCGGTTTATCAAATATTTTGATGGCTAGTCAAAATATTTTCTGTCAATTTTGTAGAAACTAGTTCACATTTATTATTATGCCCCCATTTCGAAGAAAAGGGGGTATATTGCTTTGCACTTGTCGGTCCGTCGGTCCGTAGACCAAATGGTTTCCGAGTGATAACTAAAGAACCCTTAGGCCTAGGAACATCAAACTTGGTATGGTGATTGGTCATGACCAGTAGATGACCCCTATTGATTTTGGGGTCAAGGGGTCAAAGGTCAAGGTCACATTGACCTTGTAAGCAAAAACGGTTTCCGATCAATAACTAAAGAACCTTAAGGCCTAGGAACTTCAAACTTGATATGGTGATTGGTCATAATCAGTAGATGATCCCTATTGATTTTGGGGTCAAGGGGTCAAAGGTCAAGGTCACATTGACCTTGTAAGCAAAAACGGTTTCCAATCAATAACTAAAAAACCATAAGGCCTAGGAACTTCAAACTTGATATGGTGATTGGTCATGATCAGTAGATGATCCCTATTGATTTTGGGGTCAAGGGGTCAAAGGTCAAGGTCAAATTGACTTTGTAGGTAAAAACGGTTTCCGATCAATAACTAAAGAACTTTAAGGCCTAGGAACTTAAAACTTGGTATGGTGATTGGTCATGATCAGTAGATGACCCCTATTGATTTTGGGGTCAAGGGGTCAAAGGTCAAGGTCACATTGACCTCTTAGGTAAAAACGGTTTCCGATCAATAACTAAAGAACTTTAAGGCCTAGGAACTTCAAACTTGGTATGGTGATTGGTCATGATCAGTAGATGACCCCTATTGATTTTGGGGTCAAGGGGTCAAAGGTCAAGGTCACATTGACCTCTTGGGTAAAAACGGTTTTCTGATCAATAACAAAAGAACCCTTAGGCCTAGGAACTTTAAACTTGGTATGGTGATTGGTCATGACCAGCAGATGACCCCTATTGATTTTGTGTTAAGGGTCAAAGGTCAAGGTCACATTGACCTTGTAGGTAAAAACGATTTCCGATCAATAACGAAAGAACCCTTAGGCCTAGGAACTTCAAACTTGGTATGGTGATTGGTCATGACCAGCAGATGACCCCTATTGATTTTGGGGTTAAGGGGTCAAAGGTCAAGGTCAAATTGACCTTGTAGGTAAAAACGGTTTCCGATCAATAACGAAAGAACCCTTAGGCCTAGGGACTTCAAACTTGATATGGTGATTGGTCATGATCAGTAGATGACCACTATTGATTTTGGGGTCAAGGGGTCAAAGGTCAAGGTCACATTGACCTCTTAGGTAAAAACGGTTTCCGATCAATAACTAAAGAACCCTTAGGCCTAGGAACTTCAAACTTGGTATGATTATTGGTCATGACCAGTAGATGACCCCTATTGATATTGGGGATAAGGGGTCAAAAGGGCAAGGTCACTTTGACCTTGTAGGTAAAAATGCTTTTCAAATCAATAACTTAAGAACCCTTTGGCCTAGGAACTTCAAACATGGTATGGTGATTGGTCATGACCAGCAGATGACCTATTGATTTTGGGGTCAAGGGGTCAAAGGTCTAGGTCACATTGACCTTGTATGTTAAAACGGTTTCCGATCAATTAACTAAAAACGCTTAGGCCTAGGAACTTCAAACTTTGTATGATGATTGGTCGTGACCAGCAGATGACCCCTATTGAGTTTTGGGTCAAGGGGTCAAAGGTTAAGGTAATGACCAGTAGATACTTGATAACCCTTATTAATTGTTTGATCACTGGGTCAGAAGTCATAATAACCTTATCACATGACTAATTGGCTGCTGATAGGGGGCATACATGTTTTACAAACATATCTTGTTATGTTTATTTTGGAATGTCTTTATTTGCTTTATTTTGTAAGTGATGTAATTCTGTCTGTGACATCAAGGCCGTTTTGTCTTTTTGCTCTTTATTTTTCTATGATTTTATTTGGTTGTTTTGTGTTATTAGTATTATTTTTATTTTGTTTTACTGTAGTATGTAATGGTATTTTATTTTGCTGTTGATATGGCATGTTTATAATATACTATTTTGATCTTTACAAGTTCAACAATTAGACTGGTAGATATGATTATGTGTTTCTTTTGCATAGCTCAATAGGGAGAGCATTGCAGGTTAGTAATCCAGGTTCGCTTGTTCAATCCTTTGGTTAGATGAAATTGACTGATTTTGTTTGTTGTTGGTTTTCAATCACATTTGGATTGACCAATGAATAAGCGACAGTAAAGTTGTTATTGGCATAGAACCCAAATGACTTTACCATATTTCAGATACAGGTGAGTACCCTTGGTAGAACAACTTCACCTCCTCTAGCTAGCTGGATAGCCTTCTTTCTTTAAACTGTCAGTGTTCTCCACAGCAATAGGAAACATTATATAAATGGCCACACAGAGATACTGTTTGACTTTTGACACAAGTCACATGACTGGTTGTATACATGTATCACATTGTGTTTAACAAAATATATATGTTAATGATTATGATAGAAAGTCATCAATTAATTAAAAAAAAATTCAAACTGTTTTTGTAAATGATTTTAGATTTTGATTTAGATTTAAATCTTGTGGTTACAGCTCCTGGTCAACCAACAATACTACCTGAAGATTGCAGCGCTGAGAACAACAGTGTGACCATCGCTTGGCAACCGTATCCAGGAAGTGTAGTTGATGCCTATACATTAGAACTAGATGATGGTAATGGTGGGGATTTCAGGGTAAGAATAAAGTACTAAACAAGTGATTGGCAGTTTGAAATTAATTAATTGAAATTTAATTAAGTTTTAAGTTTAACACTTTGCCTGCTGGAAGCAACTGAAAAGATCTAAGCCACTAGTGCAGACCAAGATCAGCCCACACATCTATGCTATCTGATCAAGGTCAGCACTGTTTGCTCTACAGTCAGTTTATGTTTTGCAATTTTCCCAAGGACTGATGATTATTTTTTTTTCTGATTGAAAGATGAACAAGTCCATTTAAGATATTAAGGGAGGCAAGGGTTACTTTAAGGGAGACTTTAATTATTATATATGATAAATTAATTAATTTGATTTCCGGTATTACATACAATCTGATATTTGTAGACTTGGTACATTGTGTCCATCAGGTAATTTAGTTACAAGGAAAGAATAAACTGTCTAGGTATATCATATATATATTGTAAATGTTACCTTTTATAGTGATTCTATGACATTAGATCTTAACAATAGCAGATGTTTTATTCTAATAGTTTTACTATATATAGAATGTTACAGACATTTCTAACATTTTTATGTAATCACTAAGTCCGAGTATACCCATGAAATTGTATTAAAAGCTGTGTAGTTCTATTTTCATTTTATTACTTATTTGAAATTATTATTAGATTATAGTGATATCTATTGGGGAAGTTAAAGGTGCTGACGTAACAATGACGTAACAATGACAGTTACAGGTGATTCAATGAGTGTGTGGGGTCATTGTTATGTTATATTATTGAGCTATTATTATTAGAGATTAACCCTTAACAATCTGAAGGCATGCAGCTTTAATCATCTGGAAATTAAAGTGATTATCATTTGCCACCAGTATAGAGTCCGGCCAGCCTGCATGTTGGGGTACAGTCTGATCAGATTCTACAATGTTTGCAGCTCTCTTTTGGCAATTTAATATTGAAATCCCTTAAAACATTGAATGGACTGTTCTAAATTTGAAGCAGGGCAAATCCATTACAAAAATACAGCAGAGTAAAAGGTTATGTGACCCTGACCAACCTGGTCAATGTAATCTAAAAATGTCCGTCTAAAATTTTTAGAGGAAACAACTTGATTGTATCTGACATTATAAAGAATAGTTCTGCCGAGCCAAATATTGTGTCTGTTAATAGTCTAGCAGTCTAATCTATTTATCGGTGTCCAGATGAAAATCTATTTATATATGGTAATTATCAGCATTTATTGTTAAAGAATTATCCCTTAGGATTTAATCATAGTTAAACCCTCTTTTATAAATGAGTGTTTTTCATCTGACCGTCTGCTTCGATCTAGTACCATGCGTGTACATAATGCAGAAATATGTAATTGTTCATGTTCATTGCTTATGATATGAATAATTTTTCGTAAGTGGCATAATTGTTATAAAATTATTTTATGGAAAAAAAAAGGTATAATTGTCTTTTACTTTATTCATTGTATAAAATCTTATTATTTGCCTGCGGTGTAAAGAAATGTTTCAGAATCGTACTTCCGTCTTGCAAAAATATTGAGAACACTAATGAAATAATCTGTTGGAGGATATGAAAGAAAAACGCATATCAAGAGCTGACTTCTCTCAACATAATGTTATAAATAAGACATCACATAGAAAGACAAATACTTCTGTAATGTATATAGTGGCTATATTCTGTCAGTGGATGTAATTGGTTTTCAGTATTGCCTAGAACGGAGATGTAATGATACGGAGATAGCGGCAAAAATCTGGTTTGATCATGTGACATTTCTCATTGTTACTGACCAGCATCAATCAAGACATTACCACTCGAGAATGAAAATGGACGTTATATCGCAGAATGGTCAGACAATTGGGCGTCTAGTAGACAATCAGTGGCGCTATAGTTGAATCACTGACCGTCAATACCGCGTTACATTCGCTAAAATAATAATTAAAGATACAGACATCTGAGGATATTACCAAATATGGTCTATAAAATATCAGAAAATTGAATTACTCTGATATACTTTGTATATAACAGACTCCATATAAGTAGAAATTAAATCAATGACACCAAGAGAAAATATGTAATTGCGGTTCTTTATTTTTTTATAAAAACTTTCTAATATGTCAAGGGTGTCATAAAATAAAATGATACCTGTAGGCAGTAAAGTATTGATCTATTTAACTTGAGGGAAAAAAAGATCTAATAGAAAATCATTTTAAAGATTAACATTTTAGATTAGTGTTATGGAATGAATGAGCTCATATGTTGTGGCGTAAGCTAGAGGAATTCCATTGGCAGCATTTAACACCAGTTGATCATTACATGGAATATTGTATTAATTTTTCTCAAAAATCCATTAGCCCTAAACCACTGACTCAGTTTTGGGAGTTGACACAAGGCTCCAAACTGTCAGATAATCCATTTTAAATTGGAAGGCAAACACGATTTAGATCCCAGTATCCCAGAGTTCCCTACAATATCAACATTTGTTCCAGACAGAGCGTATGTGATACTGGTTTCCTTGGTGACTTAGATCATACTGGCCCCAAGTTCAATGAACGAAGGAAATGTCACAGGAAATAACGCTGTCATGGTTGCTCAGTATTTCTCAAGAAAACTGTTTGACTAATACATTATCTATAATTCCTCTCTGATGACCGGGCCCTTTGTTTGGTGACAAATTGTTTTTCGAGGATTTGTGAAGTGTTGGGAGAGAGTGAGTCAGACTGTAATGAAATTTCTCCACGCTTCAACCACCTGAAGGACAAATACAAATCTGAATGACTGTCACTCATTCACGTCTATTAGGACATTATCAAAATTTATCACCAATTCTTAAAATCTGTTAGGAGACAAGTCAGTCTATGGATTCCGTTGAAATCTTAAATTTTGTCATCAACAAAATTGAATGCACCGTCTGTACTGCACTAGATAATGTCACTGTCTGCAATGATGCACCAGGAATGTCTCTCTGTTCCCTTGTTTCCTCTGTAAATACGGTCAGTCATTAAAAACAATGTTTTTGATATTATTAAATACAAATTTTGCTTTTTTCTCACTTACTAAGTTTTGGTTATGTAATGGTGACAAACCTGTCAGTGTTTATATGTTTTACTCAATTCTGATCTGTTAATGAAAAAAAAAAATCCAAAGAATTAACAAGACTCTTGTTGCTTCTTCTCATCAATTTTATTGCAGATTTTTATGAATAATTTAAATTTTGAGATAATTAAAGTGAATTTTAATTAGACATCAAAGTGAGGAAATTTTAAACATGATGCATCTAGTTAGGAGTTTTATGCATTGCAATTAACTCACGAAATTAGTTTTAGAAAACTCGATGCAATTTAAGCAGATTCCAATTATTTTTTAGCAATTTTTAATTTTTCAGCATTTTTCTTAAATATCAAAAGGGGAATGACAACATGTCTGTACTTGCTTTATTCACTCTGACTTTGCTGTAATAAACAGCAATAAGCCTTTGCCACCTAAGTATAAAGCCAGGTCAGTCGTCTCAGACCAGGTTCTATTCTGTTTGCTTACTATTTTCATCTTGATATACCCAAAATTTATAATTTACAGTTCCAGAAAAGGAAGCTGGAAAAGTCCATTTAAGAAATTCATCAGGTTACAGGTTAAATGTATTCATTTACTTATTCTGCAAAATGGCTTTGTTGTTTGAATGGTGTTATTTGTCCTGAATTGCTTCGCCCTAAAATTATGTTTATAATTTCAGGCATAATAAGGTTGTCATGTATATTAGTCCTGCAATAGTGTTAATGTTAATTTATATTTCAGGTTGTGTAGATTGGTCCTGAAATAATGTTCATATATATTTCAGGTCATGTATATTGGTCCTGAAATGATGTTCATATATATTTCAAGTTGTGTATATTGGTCCTGAAATAATGTTCATATATATTTCAGGTTGTGTTTATTGGTCCTGAAATGATGTAAATATATATTTCAAGTTGTGTATATTGGTCCTGAAATAATGTTCATATATATTTCAGGTTGTGTTTATTGGTCCTGAAATGATGTAAATATATATTTCAGGTTGTGTATATTGGTCCTGAAATAATGTTGATATATATTTCAAGTTGTGTATATTGGTCCTGAAATAATGTTCATATATATTTCAAGTTGTGTATATTGGTCCTGAAATAATGTTCATATATATTTCAGGTTGTGTTTATTGGTCCTGAAATGATGTAAATATATATTTCAGGTTGTGTATATTGGTCCTGAAATAATGTTCATATATATTTCAGGTTGTGTATATTGGTCCTGAAATGATGTTCATATATACTTCAGGTGGTGTATATTGGTCCTGAAATAATGTTAATTTATATTTCAGGTTGTGTATATTGGTCCTGAAATAATGTAAATATATATTTCAGGTTGTGTATATTGGTCCTGAAATAATGTAAATATATATTTCAGGTTGTGTATATTGGTCCTGAAATAATGTTCATATATATTTCAGGTTGTGTATATTGGTCCTGAAATAATGTTGATATATATTTCAGTTTGTGTATATTTGTCCTGAAATAATGTTGATATATATTTCAGGTTGTGTTTATTGGTCCTGAAATAATATTGATATATATTTCAGGTTGTGTATATTGGTCCTGAAATGATGTGTACAGTTGATGGCCTTCATTTTAACAGTATCTACAACGCACGTGTAAAAAGTCAGAATCATGCGGGTGAAAGCGATTACAGCGATTTAGTCAGCCTACAAACAGCAGAAGGTAATTTCTTCGTGTAATTTATAGATTATATAATTCTTCTATCTCTTTTAATGAGTATGTTAGTTGATATTCAATACTTTTACCTTTCCTTGCTGGGGGCAACTGAATCTACACATGCAATAAGTGCAGACCATGATCAGACAGCACTTTTATGTCATATTTAAATTTTTTCAGTAAAAAAAAGACGACTGGTTTTATCGGGATTGAAAGATGGACAAATCCATTTAAGAAATTAAAGTAAGAGTTAAATAATTGATATGAAGGCCATCATTTTGAATATCAAAAAAAAATTGTCTAAAGTTTATTTTTGGGAAGTGTACTTGATTTTTGACACCTATTTTATATCTTTTTATCTTATCTCAGATGAGTTAAATATTTTTAAAACTCGATTTCAAAAAATTCAAATTTGCATTGCATACTTACATTGTTGTGAAACTGACACTTAAGCTTACTTTTATTTGTTATCTTTTTTCCAAGATATTTTTCTGAATGAAGAATCACATTCAATGTTCTTGCAACATTAAAGTTCAGTACATCACTAGGTCATAAAATGTTTATATGTTGATGTAGTTAAGTCATTATTACACTGAACTCTCAATCTATGATGTTTGAAATTTGAATTTTGTCAAATCGATGCAGGCAGATGTAAGAACAACATAAAATGTTAAATAAGATTAGGAAACAAGCACGAGTTGTGCTATAATCTAGCCTGCATGCAACAATTCCAATCTTATCATTCAATTAATGAAACTTGCAAGTTTTATTGAAGTATCTTTCCTCTGTAATAAAATCTATTGACAATAGCTGTGTGAAAATAAGTTAACTTTGAGCCTGTACAGAAGCAGAAATTGTTTCATCATATAAAGATAAATTCTTGGAATAAATTCAACAAAATTTACATTCTGACTGATACTCAAATGGTCCATGTGTCTTAAAATAAATTAAAAGAAAAAAATTTATTGCACATATTTACATTTTTTGTCATGGCTTGTTCTTTCATGTGATATATTTTACAACTGATGGTTACAAAAGTCATAAATGATTAAAATATCACCTCTTGTTTGTACCGCTGAACTTTGTGCAACTGGCTTTCAAGCTTGCCAGGAACTAGGAAAACTACTGTAAATGTTAAATTATTTTATTCCTTTATAACTTAGCATTTAGGATGATTTGAGTTTGTTGCCTGTGTAAAGAGCCAGGTCACTGGCTATTATAATATTATTATGCTTGCGGTATGGTTAGAGTAAATACTTTTGTCAACTTAGTTTTTGTATTGAATCCCTGAAATAGTCCATAAGTAGGGCAAGATTGTAAATATAATTTTGAAGGTAAAAAGATAAGACGTAATTTCAAATTTTGTTTGTGTAGTTTTGTTGCAATACCTCTTAATTAAAAAAATAAAAAATGTCAAAAAACAAGAATTTTTCACCAAAATTAGGTGTAAAGGCACGTGTTAACATGGAAAAACTAGTCTTTGGGTAATTCCAAGGTTTTTCATCATTTTTTTGTTAATTAAATCTTTACCATAATAAATTTCAAACAAAAACGTTTCATTCTGCTTGAATAAAATGAATTCCTGGCTGAGTTTTTGTTTTTGAAATTTGTATCAATGGTAGACATGTTGTTTGTTTTGTGTTATAGTAAAGCAGACACACTTCTGTCATTAATCAGCTATACAATGATTGCTTGTAAAGAAAGGAAAAGAACTTAAATTTGTTACTGCAAAGTCAGCAGGAATTTCAGGAGAAAAAAATCTTATAAAAACTATAAATTTCAAAGCTGCCTGAAACAAAAACATGCATTCTTAAATAACAATAGGATGGCAGAACAATTGATTTAGTTAGGGTACTTATTTCTCTCAGGAATAAGCAAAATAATTGTTTTGTAGAGTAAACAGAAACAAAAGGATTAGTTAAAAGTTATTTTATAATGCAAGGTTGAAGAAAATTGAGACACATAATCAAATGAAAACATTTTATTAAAAAAAAGATTATGTTGTGTTATTTTGAATTAAAATGTATGGTAAAGATAATTTAATGTTAATTTTGAAAGTTGCTTATGTCAAGCTTAGATTATATTAATATTTTTCATGTTATAATATGGAAAGCTGCCCTATGTCAACGAACCATGAAAACATTTTGTAAATCTTTGTTTATGTCAAGGTCCCATGAAATCACATTAAACATCTTTGTTTATGCCAAGGTCACATAAAATCGTATTATACATCTTTGTTAATGTCAAGGTCACATAAAATTACATGATTCATCTTTGTTAATATCAAGGTCACATGAAAACACATTAAACATCTTTGTTTATGCCATGGTCACATGAAATCACATTAACATCTTTGTTAATGCCAAGGTCACATGAAATCACATTAACATCTTTGTTAATGCCAAGGTCACATGAAATCACATTAAACATCCTTGTTAATGCCATGGTCACATGAAATCACATTAACATCTTTGTTAATGCCAAGGTCACATGAAATCACTTAGTACATCTTTGTTAATGTCAAGGTCACATGAAATCACATTAAACATCCTTGTTAATGCCATGGTCACATAAAATCACATTAAACATCCTTGTTTATGCCATGGTCACATGAAATCACATTAACATCTTTGTTAATGCCAAGGTCACATGAAATCACATAGTACATCTTTGTTAATGCCAAGGTCACATGAAATCACATTAAACATCTTTGTTAATGTCAAGGTCACATGAAATCACATTAAACATCCTTGTTAATGTCAAGGTCACATGAAATCACATTAAACATCTTTGTTAATGTCAAGGTCACATGAAATCACATTATACATCTTTGTTAATGTCAAGGTCACATGAAATCACATTATACATCCTTGTTAATGTCAAGGTCACATAAATCACATTATACATCTTTGTTAATGTCAAGGTCACATGAAATCACATTAAACATTGTTAATGACAAGGTCACATAAAATCACATTATACATCTTTATTAATGTCAAGGTCACATGAAATCACATTATAACATCCCTGTTTATGTCAAGGTCACATGAAATCAAGTTAAACATCTTTGTTTATGCCAAGGTCACATATAGTCACATTTTCTAAGTAATAATATTGAAATGTTCCTAATGTTAAGATCACATTTTTTTAATGTCAAGGTCACATGAAACCATGAAATGTATATAAACAGTTTTATGATTTTGAGAAGGTTTGCTTGTACCATGGAAACTGAATGGTTCATAATCAAATCAATTTTTTAAAAGAAAATGTTTTTTAAAAGTTTTCTTTATTGTAAATTAAAGATCAAACCATTATTAAGTTATTCCTTATAATCTAGCTATGTAGTTTAGATGTATATTAAATGACAGTGATGAAACATATAAGCATAAGTAAGTATTTGACTGTGGTGACATACAGCCGGGGTAGGAGGAGAAATTCATTCCTATTTAATTACTTACCTCCTTTACCATAGGCTTATGTAGCATTTTGTAATTATGATAATGTACACAGTTTACATACCTCTACTGATCACATCAGCCTGTTTTATTATCAACATATAATATAAGTGTGATTATGATACCTATTATTGTACATCATTATGTATATTCATCATTACTCGACACTGTTAGGCCTACACATGTCATTATCTCTACACTCTAATTGACTAAATTATGAGAATGTTATTTCTAGATAGGTAAGTTATGTCCCTTTTATTTCACAGAAAATGCATTCATGTAATGAAAAAATAAAAACGATATGATTGTAATATTATACAGCTGTAGATTTAGTGATGTCATCCTATTATTTCATTACATCAATAAGCCGCTTTTATTCTTATTGTGTACATATATTAGACATTAATCAAAGGTTTTACAGTAAAATCCAATTTCTAAATTGAAAATGAATCATAACAGTAAAGAATTAGATATTTTAACAGAGGCATATCTCACTGCCAATAATGATTGTATCTTTTATATTGTATTACCTGAAAACTACTTACATTCACTTATATTTTAATGTGATTAAAATTTTCCAGTAAGATTAAATAGTTACGGTGTGATATACTAAAGTACAAACGTTCAAGCTTGTCAGGAGGGAGTGTTTAACTTTTTTAAAATTCAATTTATGTGCAATTATTTTCTTTTAATTTAAAATATTTTAAGGTTATTAAATGTTAGCATTTAGCGATTTAGTCCTAGATATTTAGGGATTTTTTATGTTCTGTGCCATATAACCAGTTAGTTATGATTTGTTCCATATAACTAGCTGGTTATTATCTGTACCATATAACCAGTTGGTTATTATATGTGCCATATAACAAGTAAGTAATACTCTGTGCCAAATAACCACTTGGTTATTGGTCCATGCCATATGATATATGGTTATGGTTTTTTGCCACATAACATGTTATTTATTATCTGTATTATATAACCAGTTGGCTGTCTTAACCATATAACCAAGTTATATATAACTAAATAAGTTGGTTAAGTCTGTGTCATATATAACTATGCAAAACTTTCATTGTTTGACTCAAGTCTGGAGGCAGCAGTGTCATGCCACAATGTGAACAGCGCACGGCTCAAAGGATGAGACTTGTTCTTGGTTTAATGGTTTTCTTTCAGGTCAGACTGTTACACAGGTTTCACTGTACTGTACTTAATGTCATACAACAAATTTAAATACAAGAATGATATATATGTAATAAAAGGGTTATCAGATGAATAAATAGCTAGGCCATAAAGATTAAATGAAACATTTCCAAGATCAGCAAAATAAATGTACTCACTTGTGTTTTTTCCTCAGTTTAATTACACATAATAGGTTTCGGAGAAAAGTGTGTTGAAGTAATGAAGATATTTGGATAGTTGTGATAAGAGAGGTATGACAATTACACAATCACAAGATACCATTGAAATATCTCCTTACAGTCTCGAAAACTCATTAATATTCTGCTAAGTTAATGAGTCTCTCTGTACTAATTGAGATTTGATATTACATAAAAACAA